TTACAATGCTAAATACATTTTATTTGGTGGTACATGCCAGAAATGTGAGTGTTCCTTGAATCCGTTTTGACACTGATGATTGGTTTTTAAATTATCATGTTATGTCCTGATAATTCATTAACATAATTCTGATAGCAGTACAGTGTTTAAATACGTTTTCAGTTGCAGTGTTTCATTTTGTGGAGTGACTGGTTAACCTAGAATCAGTCCTGTGCATTATAAGTGGTAGGACTAATCCCCTGGGGTCTGTGGCTGTAGGGCTATATTTGCAAAGGACACGTCCCATTCTAATGTAACTCAGCATGCTGAGGAATACAAACATTGAGAGAGAAAAAAATATTTTATCAAGGGAAACAAATGATCAGTATTTAAGATAATAAAAAACACATGGTACACTTGTGGCTAGTTACCAATAGGACAGAAATACAAACAAATGATAACACTGATGTAATCTTTCAACTATAAATAGCAAGGTTTTCACCCATATTGCATTAACAGCAATAGATCATTTGCAAAATACTATTAGCGTACATGGTTTTAATCTGGACCTACGCAGGACAGTTTAACTAAGCAAGTGCAGCAGCCCTACCAAATGTTTTTGGTGACAGGAATGAATTAAATAGATGTGTTCAAGTTTAGGGATCCTTTGTTACATCTTAAATATATGCTAACAAGCTGAAAAGACGTGGTTATGTCTGAGACTATGTTTCCTATATGTAAAATCTCATCAACTAAGACTTGCAGTCTTTCTTGCAGTCCACCTTTCAGGAATTTGGACATTGAGAGTATGCTTTTGATCTCTGTGAAGTTAGGTCATTATAGGCAGTCAGATTGCTCCAATTTGGAATTCTTGTACTAATTTTCTGATTGCTTTGCTCCTTGTAAATTTTTTTTTTATTATTTTTTTTTATGGCAAAGCTAAGCTTTTAGTACTGGTTTTAGTTCTTACCGAGAATAGAGCTTGTGCTGACAGAAACTGGACTCTGTTGGGTCAGTGAATACAGCACTGTCATTAGCAATTAGACAAGGCAGAACTGTAGATATTTCATTACGGGTGATGCTATACAGAGAATGAAGGTGGGTGGGGTGTTTTTTCAGACTGAAAAGTAGATATGATAGATTGGAAGGTAATTATTTCCAAATAATTGACTTCTGTATATCAGAATAAAGTAAGGCAAAAGTCTATTTTAAAATATAACTGGACTGCCATTCTTTAACCAAGATACAGAAATTAATTTTAAAATGCCTGTAGTTTTCAAAGGTCATGACACTAAACAATGCCAGGATGCAGCCTCGATGCTGGCAGTTGAGCAAAGGTGTCTGCCCCCTTTCATTGCTAGCACGTTCCCTGAAATGGTTTTGCTCTATACTACCTCAAACAAGCAGTTCCCCAGGCAGAGTCTGGCCCACCAGAGACTGTTCCCAGCAGAGACCGTGTAAGAGGCAGTGCTGTTCTGCATGGATGCAAACCTCTTGAGAGTGGGTCCTGGCATTTTTCTGTATTAGAGTAAAGGCATCTTATGTTCCCAAGACCCCAAAATTATGGGTCAGTATTGATTTAATTTCATCCTGCCTCTACCAAATCAGTGAAAGCTATTTTTGATTTTCGGTTTAAATTATTTTCTGGAATATCCTTTCTAACTTGAATACTCCCTCTGCCCACCAAATAATATCACTTTTCAAAACAAACAACTGAAAAAATGCATCAAGTGTTTTTATTTAAAGTCTTTAATCTTCTTAGCACAACTATTATTTTAGTACTTGAACAATGATTGTTTTTCTTGCTCTCGTATGTCTTGTTTCTTGCAGTTATTCACCTGCAAAAGGTATGTTATGTATTGGGAACATTTCCTTTTCTTGATCAACATTTATTGTTTTAGGTGCTTTAATTAACTGGCTTTCATCAAACAATACTCTTCCCTTTATTCAAATTGGTACTGTTCTTCTCAAATGTGTAACAGTCATTCATCTTGTATTACATAATATCAAAGTAAGATATTTAATTTCATGAGAAGTCAAGGAACTTTTCTTCCATAAAATGGTGATGAAATTTAGACAGAAAAGATTTTCAGAATGGAAAACTAGGTTTGTGTTGAAGACTGTTCCTCATATTTCCCAATTATTTTGTGTCGAGCAATGAATAATATTTTGCTGCAGCTTTCTTTGGCTTTTAATCAAGTACTATAAATGAATTCATTAATGGGAATTGTTTTTGGGCAGCAGTAGTGAGTTTGTGTTTAAAGTCTTATGGTGATGCATCATACTTTGAGCTTCAAGTGTATGCCATGTTTTCATTAGCAGTTCTAACCTAAGAGGTAGTTTGACTTAAAAGAAAAAAAGAAAATAAAAAAACCAAGCCTATGGTGATTAACCATTATCTGTGAGCCACTCTACTAGTATTCATAAGATTGTCTTCTAGGCTTTCTGAATGAGAAGCCTTCTCTTTGGTATTATTAAAAGAAACATTCTTACAATAGAAATTGTCAGGTTGATTGCAGATATTTACTTGAATCACTTAGGTCAATATTTTTTATTCTGCTTGGTTTTAATAGGTTATAAAAGCAAAATTTGTTTTCATGGGAAAGATTAAATTGAGATGTTTAGTAGAAAACTGAGACCCTTTCCCAGCCTGAAGTTAGCACCAATGCAGTATGCTGCAAAGATGAACATTTTCTCTTCCATTTTCCTTACTCGAACACCAGCAGGACTCTTATAGAAGATAAAAAGGATTTGTGTCTAAACACTAAACAATGCTGAGTTTGAGGGCCGTGAGCACTGTTGCATATTACACAAGTAAAAGCACAGAGACATTATTTATTTAACAACAGCATTATGTAGGTTTTGTGTGTGTAACTAACCTCTGGATCTACTGTTTAGCAAAAGCAGAGTGTGGGAGGAGAACAGCAACAAGGAAGTTTAAGAGCTATGATAGTGAAATTATTTAAGTTTGTTTGGTTCTTGATAGTAAACTATTTTATGTGTATTAATTAAGAAAGGGCCGACTTTAGGAAGTGATGTTGGAATACATAAAATAATATTTAAATGTTAGATATGCTACCATCAGCATGGTGCCAGAAAATACTAACTAAAAATCACAAACATATTTTCAACATTTAGCACTGGAAAAGTATGCATAGCTAGTTAAAGTTTAGTGTGGAGAATTAGGCTGTAATTTAACCCTTTTCAGCATTTATTATAGGCAATGTACCTTGTCTATACTGGACTTTGAAACTTGTTAATTAGCTCATGCCTTGGAAATATGTCAGCTAATACCTGTTGTCAGCCTACAAAGAGCTGTAGGTGTGTGAAGTATTATAGTTCATGCTGGTAAAAGCTAAGAGGTTCTGATATTTAAGCATATGCTTCATTGTAAGCAGTAGTTGCCCTGTCCCTAGGGAGCCTCTCTTTACATGTTTAATTTAGCACTGTTCTTGGTCAGAAACACTTTTTTTTTTTTTTGAGAAACGGTGAAAAAATTACCTGTGGGTTCCGTATTATCTTCCTGTTTCATTTTCAGTAGACGTGGATAACAACTGTGAAAGGAATGAAGAAATAGGACCCATTATTTACTTTCTGTGAAGCCCTGTGGTATTGCATCTCAAATTATGGTGTCTTTCATCCATGTGAAGATTAAACCTTCTTAAAACACACAGAAAGTAATAATCAGGGAGGCTTCTATAATAGCATAAGCTTCAGTCACCACATTATTATTTAATATATTTCAGTTGAAATGTGTGCTGTTCTTTATATCATTATCTCGAAAATACAAAGTAATTAAAGACTTTATTTTTAAAGCAGGCATACCAAAAGCACGTTGCAGGATGTCGATAGCTGGAATAAAAACGTCTACATATCTTCTGAGTGCATTAATAGCAAGGGCAGGGAGGGTTTTAGCTTAAGGAGGGGTCCCGTTGTCTTGACATTTGAGCTTTGAGTAGATAATTGTCAAAGCAGAGAGGGAATTGTTTCTTACATGTAGATAATGAATCTTCTATGAATATACATGATAATATAAATGTGAATACAGGTGTGAAACTGTAGTTTATGCCGTAATGATGGAAATTAAAATTGTAGGTAAATTAACCTGGACAGAGCCTACTTTTCTTATCTTCAGTAGAGGAGTGAGTGGAAACCTAGACGGGTTATCCAGTTTTGGGCTGTGTGATGTTAGGAATTCTCCATTTTCTTTTCAAACTGCAGCTACTCTTTGTCACTTTGAGAGGCAGTGAGAGGTTTAGTCTGAACCAGAGCCACCTGTTTCCCAGGTCGAGCAGTAAGCTGCTGTTTATGCATGGATTTGTTCCAGGTGGATGATTTCTTGCCTCGCTGAACAGACATCAGGCTGTCCATCAGTCTTTCTGCCCATTGTCTTCAGGGAGTCTCCAGCAGAAGCTGTAAAGATTTATTGCCTGGAGGCCTGTGGTAGCAGAATCACTAGTACATTACAAAATACAGTGCTTGATCACAGCAATAAGCTTCTCTCAAGGGTTTATCCTAATGAATATTGAAACTTATTTAATTCTTTTTTGTTCTGGGTGTGTATTGCGGTTCATACTGAAGACCAAGAGTCTGAACAAAGCCATGCAGTAAACAGAACGCTCAGGCTCCTTTCCCTGAGCCCCATGCACATCTTACTCAATTATTCTGTAGGTGACAAAGACTAACTTCAGGTAGGTGAAACTGGGTTCTATAGGCTACCTCTCTAGTTACAGTAGAGTCTACATGGAGGAGTGAGAAGACCATCAGTATGTTTCTGGTTTATAACTGCCCATCTTTCTCTCCACTGACTACAAAAAGATGTTGAGGGAAGCTTATCTTTCAAGTTCAAATTTGGTCTTTTGAATTTTCCTTTATGTCATCTGTTTTGACACCAGCTCCTGTCAAGTCTGAGCCCACCATAGTAGTATAGAGATTTTAGTAAACGAGAAATATTTTAAGAATTGTCTTGTAATACTTCATAATCAAGTTCTTTTCAACTTTAGTCTTCTTCATTTTGGCAGCACCAGAACGGAAGGATTCCTTTCTGGGTAGCCCAGATGTCATTGATACTGCTCCAAGAAGAAAGCGAAGACAAAGGACTGCAAAGCCTGCTGGGACAGGAGCTAAGATGGCTACTTATGAGACAGAACTGCCAGCCAAGGAAAAGTAAGCAGTTTTCCAATTTATTGAAATGTTTTTATATCTATGGATGTCAGAGGGTTTGTGGTTTGGGGTTTTTTTGTGTTTTCTTGTATAGTTTCATATTTCAGACTGAGCAGTGTTGTGCTGCATTCTGTATAGTCATTTACAGTAATTTTACCCAACTCTGAATAAATGTGAATGATTAAATTGTCAGGTCCAGTGACATTGATTTTAATACACCTCTAAAGTGAGAATTGTAAAATTATTTTCATTAACTGACTTGGATAACTTCAAGCAAATAGATTGTACTGAAACAACGTTCTGTAGCTTACCATATAACTGCTGACAAAGAAGGATGCATTTATAGCAAGTGTCAAGCTGAGATGGACAGCTTCAGCTGTGTCACAGAAAGTAGTAGCATTATGAGTGTCTTTTTTCACAGTGAGGGTGTTCAAACACAGGAACAGGTTGCCCAGAGAGGTTGTGGAGTCTCCATCTGTGAAAATATTCAAAATGCAACAGGTCATGGTCCAGGACAACCTGCTCTGGTTGAGGAGGGAGGTTGGGCTAGGCAATCTCCACAGGTCTCTTCCAACCTCACCATCCTGTGATTCTGTCCTTGTAATTTCAGTGGAAATTAATTCACAATAACATTTTTAATAGACCAGAATATATTTATTTTAAAAATAAGATCAACGGTGATAAAAAAGAATTCACTCTTAAACACAAGGGGGGATCAGCATTTATAAGACACTAAGCATCTTTTTCTTCTTATGTCAATCTTGATTTTTGGTAATATTTTCACATGATCTGGGAGGTGCTTAGTTGTGCACAGATTTACCTCAGAGATGCAATAGGATTGGTGGTATTTTCTTCAAAATCTAATCTTTTTTTTAAGATCTGTTGTAAGGTAGATTTGAAAATACTTATTTTCCCTTTTAATCTGTAGTAGCCAATGGATAATCTGATTAAAGAGAGATGGACACAAGCAGACTGCAGAGATGTTTCCCATGATTAGCAAAGATTTCTGCTTAAGGCAGTTAAGAGAATTATCTTATTTTAACATAGAAGGTTGTGGCTTGGTGCCAGCTAGGAATGTTTAAACTTCCAATCCTGTTTAATTAGTTTAAAAAGTTTGGGGTTTTTTTAGAAGACTCTTCAAAAATGCCAAATACTGCTCTTATGTCTTTTTAGAGTCTAATATATTATGATGAACAATGCCATTTTCCCAACTGTATGTAGTCAGTTTGATTTTGAGAGTCTGACTGCATTTGCCCGCAATACAATTTCACTCTTTTTAGTATTGATTGTGGAAGGAAGACCTATGGAGATAAATGATTGCAAAGGAGAATATAGAGTCCTTAGGCTGAGTAATCCTCAGCATTTGAATATCTGAGTCCTGTGTGCAGGGGAAGGTCTTAAAGGATATTGATATTTTTCTTTTAATTCCTTTTAAGTAAGGCAAATTTTAGAAAAAAGCAGAGCAACAGTATTTTTTCCATACTGTACAAAGTGTTTCTAACATGGTTATAGATTCAGGTCAGAGTTGAATCTGAAGAGTGGCCCTTCTTCTTGGCTATAACATAATTAGTAATATTTTAAGGCTTACCATAGGGAACGTCCATTCTGTCTATTTATCTTTTTTCATTGAGTATGTATGAACTGTGTTGTAAACAACAGCTTTGCACTACAGGTCACATCATTGCTTGGTGTGTGACATGCCTTCCAGTACTGTGAAGATGCACCTGACGATGCAAGATCATGTTTCTCTATGATCCCATGCTGATCTCAGAAATCAAATGTGATATTTCTCATTACTGGAATATGTTTTTAATCCTTTCTTTAGTTAAAAATACAGTGGCAGTGCTAATCTATTCTTTGTTTAGATAAGATTATATTCAATCTCCCCATTTACCTGGAAAATTACAAAAGTCAAACTGTAATAATTTCTATTTTTCTGATTATTTTTTCTGTGTCCCTGCTTAGTTCTACAGTTTTGAACTTCATTTTAAGTCTTTTGCCAGCTGCTAATCAAGCTTTCAGTCAATTTGCTTGGCTAATTTCACATCTCTTAAGCCTGTCAGAAGTAAGGAGATGTAGAATTAGTATCATAATCCAGTTCGCAAATATAGGTGTTTCTTTTTATGAAGCCTTTTCAGTAATTTGCACTGACAGAAGGCTAGATCCTACACGGTGTGAAAGACTTTATCTTAAGCTGATGGTACATTGGGGTCCTGCCCAAAATGTTTTCTAGTATTGTGTCACTTAGCAAAAAATTACTAATCCAAGCAAACCACCTGTCTGCTGGGGCGGTGGGGAGGAAGTTAACCTCTAAATTCCTTCACCTTTGGAAATGCTCCATCACAAATATGGAAGATGTACAACCCTTGAAAGCATGTCATGCTTTTCTGTTTGGCAGGAGGATCAAATGACAGATTGTGATCACATTTGCAAATGCACAAATTAATCCTTATTTCTGAGCTCTCCTGCACAAACCTGCAGAAAGATTTGATTCTTTATTCGTAATGCAAATACTTTAAGGTGCTGTCACATAAAATTGTATCTCACAGTTCTTTCTAAATCTTATTTCGAATTATTTTCCGTTTGCAAGTTTTGCTAACATCATCAGTGCTTGTTACATGTTTGCCAGGCAATGAAAGGGCAGCTACAAACCAAACATCAAGAGCATAATGCTGTCTTTATATTGTTGCATTGTAAGTGATTGATACAAGATCCTAGATCAGAAGAAAATATACCTCTTTACTGAAGGAGAGCATCCAAGTTTTTCTTTCCTTTCCTTTCCTTTCCTTTCCTTTCCTTTCCTTTCCTTTCCTTTCCTTTCCTTTCCTTTCCTTTCCTTTCCTTTCCTTTCCTTTCCTTTCCTTTCCTTTCCTTTCCTTTCCTTTCCTTTCCTTTCCTTTCCTTTCCTTTCCTTTCCTTTCCTTTCCTTTCCTTTCCTTTCCTTTCCTTTCCTTTCCTTTCCTTTCCTTTCCTTTCCTTTCCTTTCCTTTCCTTTCCTTTCCTTTCCTTTCCTTTCCTTTCCTTTCCTTTCCTTTCCTTTCCTTTCCTTTCCTTTCCTTTCCTTTCCTTTCCTTTCCTTTCCTTTCCTTTCCTTTCCTTTCCTTTCCTTTCCTTTCCTTTCCTTTCCTTTCCTTTCCTTTCCTTTCCTTTCCTTTCCTTTCCTTTCCTTTCCTTTCCTTTCCTTTCCTTTCCTTTCCTTTCCTTTCCTTTCCTTTCCTTTCCTTTCCTTTCCTTTCCTTTCCTTTCCTTTCCTTTCCTTTCCTTTCCTTTCCTTTCCTTTCCTTTCCTTTCCTTTCCTTTCCTTTCCTTTCCTTTCCTTTCCTTTCCTTTCCTTTCCTTTCCTTTCCTTTCCTTTCCTTTCCTTTCCTTTCCTTTCCTTTCCTTTCCTTTCCTTTCCTTTCCTTTCCTTT